TATGTTCTCCCTCATATGTGGACATTAGATCAAGGGCAAACACAACAATGGGATTGGACTTTGAGCACATGATAAAAGCGAGAGCGCACAAGAGAGGGGTGAGGATAGGTAAGACACCTAAAAAACTACCTAGCATTTGTTGCTCTTAACGCAGAGAAACTAAAGCAGATACCTTAAAAGCAACTGAGGCCAATAGGAAAAGGGGACCAGGAACTAGAGAAAAGGGCAGATCAAAAAGAATTAACCTAGAAGGTAACACACACACACAGGAAATCAATGTGAGTCAATGCCCTGTATAGCTATCCTTATCTCAACCAACAAAAACCCTTGTTCCTTCCTATTATTGCTTATACTCTCTCTACAACAAAATTAGAAATAAGGGCAAAATAGTTTCTGCTGGGTATTGAGGGGGTGGGGGGAGAGGGAGGGGGCGGAGTGGATGGTAAGAGAGGGGGTGGGGCCAGGGGGGAGAAATGACCCAAGCCTTGTATGCACATATGAATAATAAAAAAAAAAAATAGAAAAAAAAAAAAGACCAGTGGGAACAGAATAGAGAACCAGATATGAACAAACACGGGTATGCCGACCTGATTTTTGACAAACACACCAAAAACATATGATGTAGAAAAGACAGCCTCTTCAACAAATGTTGCTGGGAAAAGTGGTTATCTGCCTACAGAAAACTGAAACTAGATCCATGTCTATCACCCTGTACTAGTATCAGCTCAAAGTAGATTAAGAACCTTAATAAAAGACCCAAAACCTTGCAGTTAGTACACGAAAGAGCAGGGAATACTCCAGAAGCAATAGGTATAGGCAAGGACTTTCTCAGTAGAACTCCAGCAGCCCAGCAACTAAGAGAAAGGATGGACAAATGGGATTAATGAAATTAAAAGCCTCTGCACAATTAAAAAAAAAAAAAACTGGTCCCTAAATTGAAGAGACCACCCACAGACTGGGAGAAAATATTTCCTAGCTATACATCAGATAAAGGACTGATAACCAGAATATACAGAGAGCACAAAAAACTAAACTCCCCAAAAATCAATGAACCATAAATAAGTGGGCAACTGAACTAAACAGAACTTTTTCAAAGAAGTCCAAATGGCCAAAAAACACATGAAAAAATGCTCACCATCTCTGGTCATCAAGGAAATGCAAATCAAAACCACACTAAGATTCCACCTCATTCCTGTTAGAATAGTTATCATCAAAAACAACAAACGTTGGCGAGGATGTGGGGAAAAAGGAATCCTCATACACTGCTAGTGGGAGTGTAAGCTAGTACAACCACTTTGGAAAACAATATGGAGGCTTCTTAGAAAACTGCCATATGATCCAGCAATACCACTCCTAAGGATATACCCAAAGGAATGTGACTCAGGTTATTCCAAATGCAACTGCACACCCATGTTTATTGCAGCACTATTCACAATAGCGAAGTTATGTTAACAGCAAAGATACCCCACTGTTGATGAATGGATTAAGAAAATGTGGTATTTATATTCAATGGAATTTTATTCAGCCACAAAGAAGAATGAAATTTTGTCATTTGCAAGTAAGTGGATGGAACTGGAGAACATCATCTTAAGCAAAGTTAGCCAGGCTAAGAAGGCCAAAAATCGCATGTTCTCCCTCATATGTGCATTACAGACCTAAAACAAATGCAGTGATATTATTGGACATAGGTCACACACTAAGGGAAGAACATGCCTGGGAAGAATAGGGAAAGGGAAGGAAATCTAAAGCTTTAATGTGATTGATGTGCTCATGTAGAGGAGTGAATATAGTAATCTTAAACTGGCAGAGGCCACCATGGGAAGGGGACTAGGAAGTAGTGAAGAGGTCTGGTAGAGATGAACCCATGTGGATTTCAATACACGTGTGCATGGAAGCAATGCTAGGAATCTCTCTGTATAGCTATCTTTATCTCAAACTAGCGAAAATGCTATGTCTTTCTTATTATCTCTTATGTCTTATCTTCAACAAAATTGGAGAACAAGAGAGCGGAACAGTTTCTGCCCAGAAGCGGGGGAGGGGAGGGAGTTGGCCCAAACAATGTATACACACGTGAGTAAATGTAAAAACAATAAAATAAAAATAAATAAAAAAGATACTATGGAGTTTTTAGTCATTAAAACAGTATCTAAACTTGCATAGAGCCTTAGTGTTAGAATAACCAATAATGTACCTTCATTTTATTTTTTTACTAATTCATACTGACCTCTTCTTTTGTACAAATGATTGAAGCCTTACCTAAATAGCATTTTTCCAGTAGGAATAAAAATATATAAGGTATCCGATAAACTGAAGAGAGAGAACCACACATCCTATATGGAAATCAGCTAAATAGACTTACCATTAACTACCCATGATGCATTAAAGTAACTAGAATATATAATTTTATTTAACAGTAGAAAAGAACATTTGCATTTAATTATATTTCACAATGTATTTTCCCATCTTAAACACATCATCCTTTAATGCTTAACTCTAATTATTTAAAGGAATAATTAGGCTTTTACATTTATGAGCCACTGAATGTTTACCTGTTGATTTGGAATAAGAAACAACAGCATTTCCTTCCAATTCAGATGGTGTGTAATTTCTTTTCAGATAAACAGAAAAGGCTACTGTGCTGGTCATCTCTGGTTCTATAAGAAATATAAAAGTAACAAATTACACAATGGGAGGCAATTGTTATTAACAGCTAAAATGTATTAAGCACTCCCTACATGCCAGGTACTGTCATAAGCACTTTAATTGGAGTAACTCATATAATCTTCCTACAACCCTACAAGGTAGGTACCATTATTGTCTTTATTTTGTATGTGTGAGAAAACTAAAATATAGAGAGATTAAGAAGACTGTTGTGCAAGGTCACACAAGCTAACATTAGATGTAGGCACTGATTCTGGAATGTGGTATCTAGCATTCTACACCATTGCTCCTCTTTACCCAGAACAGGAAGAGAAATGGATACACAAAAGGGCACGAGAGTTTAGAGTCAAAATAATACTTTGTCATATCTAGAACAGTCTGCAGGAGAGAAATTCAGAAGCGGATTGGATATGGATACAAGAGTAGCAACTTCATAGACTGTGCACGCCCTTCTATGTAATATCTTTTTCCTCTAACCTATTTTAAAATAGATTAGAGATTTTTAACTAGAAAAATAAATTTTTCAGAATGTGATAAAAAGACAAATTGGAAGTATTATAAAAATAATTAGAAAAGAAACTGAGAATCCAGGGTTGGGCATCACCTACAAGGTTAATTCACTCAATCATTCACTTACTTATACAATCGATGAATATTTACTGAGTTTCCACTAGCTGCCAGGCACTCAGTAAATAGTTGGTTAAACAGAAGCAAAAAAGAGAAAAATGTTCTTGACCTCTTGAACAAGATAGAAAAGCCTTGACTGAAGAGCTACCATACAAAAAGACTTAACGGTAACTCAGAGGTCATTTTAACAAAAATAATGGTAACTTGGATGTAAGTGATTGGGAGTGACAGATTCTATATAAACAAATCTTACTAACCATTACCATTTATGACAATTCTTCTAGACATTATTATAGATAATTTATATAGATTCATTTGCAATTCAATCCTCAAAACAACCATGAAATATATGCAGAAATAATCTCGTTTTGCAATTAAAATAATTGAGCCTCCACATGATTACGATATTAGTTTGCCACTCAAACTCAAGTCAAACTCCAAAGCCAATATTCTTTCTTCAAATGTTACTGATTCAATAAATGGGAAAACACTAATAAAGAAAGCTTTCCAGAACTTGAGAACCTGAGCCAGGAGGATTGCAAATTCAAGGCCAGCCTAGGCTACATAGTAGGACCCTGTCTCAAAAAACATAAAAAAAGAAAGCTTTGCAAATTAAAATATTTACTTATAATAATAGGCCCAACTACTTGAAAAAACTTAAATATCTGTAATCTGAAAAAATAACTGATTGAATGTCCATGCTTGATACTTGGTGGGAAAACTAAGCAAAACAACACAATTATTGATTTCAGACAGATCTGTCTCACTATTTAAATAGATAAAAAACATGGAATGAAACAAGAACTAATACTGTTTTTTAAAAAAAACCTTACACCATGATAGACTATAAGCTAAAACAAAAACCTTACCAATAAATTCAAAGATGAACTGATCACAAGTCAACACTAAGGGTGGTTGCACATAGACTGATAATTTGGCTTTCTGCAATACCACTCGATTCTTCAGTGTAACCTAAGGGAACAGGAATTGGTATTAATATAAAGTCACATTTTATCCAAATGACAGTATCACAACCACTTAAAATCACTAGCACATAATTGGGAAAACTGGGAACAATGAGTAATTGCAAAACAGAACATGGAACATAAGTATTAGATTAAAATGTTCTATCCAACAGAAACTAAGCAAAGGAGTTGGACAGATTTTTCTCCCAAGAAGATAAAAAGATGAGCAATATACAGATGAAAAAGCAAATACAAACCAAACCCACAAATATATATTACTAAGCACACATTAAAATGGTTACAATCAAATGGACAGCAGTTGTTAGTATGATGTGGAGGAACTGTAACTCTCATATACTGCAAGTAGGAATGAAAAGTGGTACATGAAAAGTGGCACTGAAGAAATGTTTGGCAATTCTTAAAAAGTTAAACATAAATGTACCATACTACCTCATAATTCCACACCAAAAGAAATGAAAACAAATGCCCACTCAAAGCCTTGAACAAATGTTTGTAGTAATGTTATTCATAACAGCCAAAGTGTAGAAACAATCCAAATGTGCATCATGATGAGTAGATAAACAAAATGTGGTATATGTATACAATGGAAAAAAAAGAAATAAAGTATTGGCTTATGCTAGACTACAGATGAACCTTGACAATCATTATGCTAAGTGAAAGAAGCCAGTCACAAAGAATCACATATTATATAATTCTATTTACATGAAATGTACAGAATAAGCAACTCTACAGAAAAACAAGATAGATTAGCAGTTGCTTCAAAATGAGAGGGATGAGAAATGACAACTAATTGATGTTTCTTTGAAGGGGAAAAATGTTCTAAAATTAAATTGTAGGGTGGTTGCCCGATTCTGTAAAGAATCATTGAGGTGAGTGAGTTGTCTAGTATGGAAATGATATCTCAATAAAGGTGTTTAAAATGTCCTATCAAAGAAAAGGGAAATCTTTCCTCATGGCTATTAAATAACTATATCATGAAATTAAGTGTGTTAATTCTTTTTTCACATGTAGTTATACTATCATTAATTATTCATCTTATCTAGTATTTTTTTACAGAAGTCAGTTATCCTCCTATGATTTCCTTAATTAGGTGGATTTACACTAGTCTAGATATTAGTGAAAAGCACTGCATTTTCATCCAGGGCTTATCATAAAAATGTATAATGTAACTAATTATAGGAAATATCAAAAAATACCAAAATTAACTACTGCATTTCTAAGTGGCTATATTTCCAAACTGGTGCTCTTGGTTGGTGATGCTAAGAAAATCCTTTACTCCAATAAGAATGAATTTCTAAGAACTGGGATAACATCTGCCTGGGATACAGTGTGGGTTTAAGTACAGAAAGCCACAATTTCTCTCACTCTTCCTGAGGAGAAAGATCAGTAAAAACCATCAGACCAAAGAATCTTTACTAAAAGTATCTTTTCAAGCTACCAAAGAGAAGTTTAAAGGCCTGGCTTCCACTAGCATGTTCTCTCTTTGGATTTGGTCTATTAAAAGTTCCAGCCTCTTTGAAAAGTCTCTGTTAGATGATTTCATAGCACTTGGCAGACACACAGTCACCAGTCTAAGTAGGGTAACTACATAAACTGAGTCAGAACCTCGATGGACAGGACCAAGTATTGGTATTTTTAGAGCTCCCAAATTATTCTTACCAGGAATCACTAGTCAATTGAGAGCCACTATTCTATGTGCTACCTTTGTTATGGAGAAGTTAAGTCTACTTATTAGACTGTATTATACAAGTCTGACACATTATTATTTATTGATGTAATGCAAGGATATTCTTATTTTTAAGAAAGGTAGTTGTGAATTTTTTCTTAAGTAAAAGGCATGTATTATCTATCACTTAATTATACATACATATTAATATAATACATAAAAAATATACAATTGACTTACAAACATTACATACATATAATTAAAGCCAGTAAATGTCTTGTGTTAATTTTAAGGGATGTGAGTATTATATACAGCTTAAAAATAAATTACACAACATTTTGACCTGTAAAATAAAAATTTTAAAAGAGAATTACTGATGCAAACAAATATGGTAAAGATAGCAAGTGAACAATGAGTTCTTGATGTTTACTTTATAAGCCCTGTTAATACATAAGGGAATTGGCATACCACAAACAAAACATCCTCAATGATGCCTGAACATTGTAAACAACAAAATACCTTTCTAATAAAACCCTGATGGTAATTCTTACAAGAAGAAACTACAAGTGCCACAGACAACCTTCTTTCAAGTAGATAGCTAGTCCATTAAATAAAAAGGACCAACTTAAGAACTTTTCTATTAATAATAATATAATAATAACAATGTTAGTCTATATAGATGTACACACACATATATATATAAACAGCCATAGCAGTTTTCTATATTCATGAAACCATGCTAATAAATTATTATGTGCATTATCTCATTCAATCTTCACAACAGCGTGAAGTAAGTACTATCACACACATTCGACAAAAGACAAAACTGTAGTTCAAAGCTCAGTCACTTGTTCAAGGCCACTTTTACAGAAGTAAAAGAATAACAATATAATTCCAGTTTGTCAGAATCCAGAGTCCATGCCTTTAACCAGTAGCAGCTAAATCACAAAATAACTTCACAAATGAAAAAAGGTTCTTCGTTTTATAGTTCGAAAACAAGGTTCAGAGAAGGTTAAAAAAAAAAAATGCCCAAAGTCACTGAGAGCTGGAGAGTTGAAAACTATAATCTGGAACATTTTCTGAGAGTCAGTTTTTTTAAGTGAAAATGAAAACTCCTCAGAGTAAGAATAAATTTGGGAAAAAAAAAACAAAAAACAGACATTCTGACCCTGCCTGGCATAATGATGTCTACTTAGACAATAATCACACAATTTTACATTGTTACAAGAAGGGTGTGCATTTGCTTTAGGTGCACAATCATGATAGCTCCCATATATAGATTTACTGACTTCAAAACAATGGGCTAAGTACTTTAAAAAACACAAATCAAAGAGATGTGAGAAAAATAACTTACAGTATAAAAGAATAGTTGTGTCTGAGCCAAAGAGAGTTAAAGACTTGGCTAAATCATAAACTTCATATTTAAAGACTAAAATAATTATAGAATATTAAGGAAAAATATAAAATGTTAGTACAAGAATTTTTCATGCTATATTCTGCTTCTAATGAAATGAAATATAATACTTAGGAAATATAATAATAAATTTTTATCCTAGATGTACAAATATGATTCCAAAGGCCAGGTATGAACAACTACTCTGCCTTGGTGCCTGGAATAGCTGGTTACACATCATGCACACATACTCAAGGAAGCCATATCTTCATTCATTTGGAACAGATGGAAAATTTTTCTCAATTAACAGGATTTATTATGATGGAAATTTCCATGGTTATATGTCTTGGCTGCTGTTATTATAAAGGGCCAAAAGGAGAGATTTATAGCAGAAACTTGTAAAGAAACTGTCAGAAAGGATCAGGAACTCATTGTGTCTGCTGTGTGAGTTCAACCTATTGTGTACAACTCTTGTATGTTACATTGCTTCTGGTGCTTTTATAGTGACAATGAGAAACAGAGTTGGGACACAGGCATTCTCAAGTATAGGAAATAAATTTCACTAATGGTGGAGAATACTCCTGGAATGTCATGCCATCATTTTAAGGTGGCTAGTAAACATTAAAGGCAAAGAACTGCGAGAGAGACAAAGGCAACTTACATCAACAACTCCTGGTGACTGGATTGGGAAAAAGAGAATGGCAAAAGCAATGTTATCTGGTTTCGGTATAAGACTTCTTTTTGCAATTTACAGTGTGCTCCTGAATTACTACATGTATGAGTCTGAACAACATAATGGCATAGGTATAAAACAGGTTTCCCCACACAAAAGTACAGATCATTCCTGGAACTCTGCAGTTATTTTTATTTTTCTTAAATGTTTGACTTCTTACCACTAATGCCCTTTCAGACCCAGAAGTGTTAATGAGATGCAGCCTTTGATTGGGTGGGGGAAGGGAAACTGGGGAAAGACCACCCTTGTTCCCAGTGGCAAGAATCCAAAAAAAATTAGCTTAGGAAACCATTATAAGATTGGGCTCCCCTTCAACACTGACCAAAGATATCCACACTTGGGCCACCCGCTGGTCCAGGGTAAGCGAACACAATTAGTAAAGCCTAGTACCCTGTTAAGTTCCTCCAAGGACAGCAACCCATAATCTAAAAAAACATAAAGACTTCTCCAAATTTTGACTAAGTGAATTGCCAAAATCTACAACTTTTCCTGGCTTCCAAAGGTCTAGGCAGTGATAAATATTTTCAGCTTAATAATGTGCTGACTGATTACCACACTTTAATCTGAATGCTTTAAGAGAGCTCTACATTTCAGCTTCAGCTCTAAAATTCAACAATGAGAGGACTAAAAATCTTAACCAAAACCACATCCTTCATATTCTGTTTTTCCAAGACTATCAATTTGTCACTGCTCTACTTTGTGGCTTCTTCATTTAATATTTTCATGCTATAAATATAACCATTTAAAGCTAATGTTATGGCAGATAAATGACTACGAATTCTTTTAAAACACATACAATCACACATAAAAGAAAGATATTGTTACCATTCACGTACTTTTCCAATATCATGCCACAGTTTACTTATAAATAATTGCTATAGTCACCTAGTTGCTCTATTATGAATGGTGATGACATAATTCCTTTAGCAGATTTAAAATTCCAGTTTTATTACTAGAAAAAACCTGGATCATGCTACACATGTAAATAAGGGTAGAAAGAAGTCATAATAACTGTTTAGGTTATATACATATTTCTAGAAATGGAATTATCAGTTTTATATTTGTAGGTAACAAGAAAGGTTTCTAGTCACTACCCACGGCTAAAACTTACAAATTTGAAATGTTTATTTTATATTTCTATAAGCTACTTACAGGAAAACAATAGTGACAGATGTAATGAAATATGTAATATTATATGCACATTAAAGTCTAAAAACTGGTACAATACCTTCACGGTGATGGAAGGGACAAGGTCACTTCCAACTTCAACATCAGTGGCTTGCTGTAAGCACAGAATTGAGAAGAGAAAGAAGAACGATTTCAATATTACCTGGCATGAGTAAATACAATGAGTATAATATATACTTGTCACCATCAAATAGGAAACTAACTATAAAGAATTTATCACTCTAACAACAGACTAAAAGAGTTGATGTGACTTTTTGGACTTCTTCATGTGGAAAGTCATGAGGTAATATTCAAAAACCCATCACTCAGAAAAAGAAAGAGAGGTCACATATTCTATCAAATCATTCTATTTCCAAATTTATTTAAATGTTTTAAGTACTGATTCCATTAACTTGTCCCTTATATATTGGAAGAATTCCTGTATCTTCCAAAAAGGTATGCCTTATTCAGATTAGTAACATGTATGTAAGACATGTGTCTAAAGATATAATAAGTAGCCTTAAACCGAGAAAGTAAAAAAATGGAATTTTATTTTTTTACTAGTGCATATCATAAAACTAATTCAATAGGCCTCTCATCAGCTTGAGATACCTTGTCCTACCTCTTAAAGAAATTATAGAATAATACAATAAGGCAACTATTTCCTTGTAATTTGGCATACTGAGAGTAGTATATCATGGGAAAAAATGTGCAATCTATGATAGAATAAGATCAATAGGTAACATATTTTCTAGTAATACCCACAATTAAGATTATGATGTCGGTATCCAACAAATCAATCAGATTCACCACTTTTTCCATTGAAACATTTGTAACTAAGAAAAACTAAGCCACTTCTAAGCAATGGAGACAACTATGGTGCCATAGGCATCAGCAGAATCAAGAGTTGAGAGACTCCTATTCTAGTTACAGCTCTATAGGGAATCATATTTGAACTATGATCCACTCAGTCAGAAAGATGACTGAGATAGCAATATTTGTCTCCTTTACAAAAGACTCCATTCCAACATAAATTACATTTCTATTTTTAAGATGTGTGCTTTCATAATACTGATGCAAAATTAAATACTAATTCAGACTTTGGCTCCAGTACTATACCACCCAAAATCCAGGAAATGTTTCACATTTAGCTATCCACAGATCTAGAAGAGTAACCAACATCTGTTTCCTGCCTTATTTAATCCACATCTACACACCTAGATATTTCAAGGATAGTAGCCCTTTAGAAATATAAGATTATAGTCAGAGAAAAATGGCTATAAGAAGATACCATGGCCTTATAGCCACATAAATTATCAGGCTAATGTTTTCCAGTGGAATGAATATGATACTTTTAAGAAATCTCTGAAGAAGGAAAAAAATAGTAGCACAGGGAAAACAAAGCTGGAAAGAGACACCTAGTTAAAAAGAAACAGCACTCAAGGTTGCCCATAGGGAAATATATATTACATTATAATACTACTACACTGTCTGTAGACCTTTTCCTACAAGGATCAAAAGGTCCCAAAGAACAGAAAGGGAATCCTTCACTCCAAATAGCCTATGCTTAAGAGAATAGAGAAAAAATTATATAAGTTGTCCAAAGGAAAAAAAGAGTCATTTCCAGCAAGAAAATGTATAAGCAGAAATGTTCCATTCAGGTTACACCCTTCAGATAGAGTGAGAAATGGTGTGTGCCAAATGACCAATGTTGAAAACAGTGCGACTACTATGTATCTCAGCTCAGTGAATGTTTTTTTCATATATGGTCCTGCTCTTTTTTTAAGTATACCCAGTTTGCTATATCACAGCAATGTTAACAGGATTTTTAGCACAAGTTGAGTTGGCTGTTTATACCAAGATTAATCTTTGAAGACTCATGACAACTACTGATTAGATTAATGCTCTGGTACTTAAATATCAAAGACATTTCCCAGGAGGTCTTATACAATGATAGCAACTACAAATATGATAAAGTGAAGAAAGTCCAATCACTTCTCTAAATTGATCATCTTTTGGCAGAGGCACAGATAAACTTAACAGATTTTACCCCAACCTCATGCAATGGGAAATAATCCATTACACCCAAACAAGTATTTACAGAACACTAAACAGAGATGGAGTAATATAACCAAGCCCTTTCATCCTTCCTGTTTCTCAGTTTTATTGATTCAGAATAAACAGATATTGAGTAGCCATTAGAAGGTAAGCCCTAAGGATACAGCAATGGTGGTGATGATGATGCCGGAAGAAGCAAAATGTAATTTAATAATGACTATCATAACAATTCAACAGAATACATTTTATTATCTCTATTTTATAGATGAGAAAACAGACTAGAAAATTAAGTGCCTTGTGTGGGTCACCCAAATATAACTGAAGGGAAAAATAATTTCTAGACCAACTATCTGTATTTTTTGGTGTGTGCAAGGTGGTACTGGAGTTTGAACTCAGGGACTCACACTTGCCAGGCAAGCACTATAACACTTGAGCCACACACAACCCTTTCTTGCTTTCATTATTTTTAAGGTACGGTCTCTCATAGGACTGATCTCAGACCACGATCCTCCTTTTCCCTCACATGCAGCTGGGATCACAGACATGTACCACCATGCCTGGCTTAGGTTGAAATGGGATCTCAGTAACTTTTTGTACAGACTGGCCTACAACTGGAATTCTCCCAATATCTACCTCCCAAGTAGTTGGGATTATAGCCGGGACACTCAGCATAAAATATCTGTCCTCTTAATCTACTACCATAATGTATTAAAGACTGTAAGTCATCAAACTCTGTCTGAGCTAGGCCATTCACAAATGTTATCTCATTGAACCGTCAACAAAACTCTTGTGGGGTAGATATGATTCATCTGAATTAGAATTATTTCACTACTTTGGTACTGAGAAAGTTGTTTTTAAAAATAAAGTAGATTCAGAACAAGGGCAAGAACCTTTTCTACTATTCCTCCTCACTCTGCTCACATTTTTTAAAAAATATAATCCTACCTAAGAAGCTGCTTACTAGCACTAAGACAGGAATGTTTTTATTCAGATGGTAACAGAGCCTAAAATTTGTTATTTTCCCTGAAGTTTCTAGTGGAAGACCTAGAGCTTCGATCCCAATTCGAAATATGTAAATACACCTACAGACACTGAATCAAAGTTAGGAGACACTATAGCAGAAACTTCCAAGTCATCTTCTTTCTCAGTCATGGGCCAAATACCTGTAATTTAAAAAAGAGAGAGAGAGAGAGATTTAATTATAAAATAAAATCTGCTATATATAGTTTTATTTAAAGTTTGTCTACAACACATTAAAAGTCCCCATGAGTTAAAAAAAAATAATGCCTTACATTATTAGAAACCCAATGCTAATTATTGCCACTATAATACTGGAAAGAAAAATAATTTTTCTCTATAAAGCTATCAAGTAAGATCTGAACCACTAACTAACTAGTACTAGGAATTTTAAGGTCCTCTCCTTGACTATTAGTGAAAGCCCCAATTAGTACAAGGGCAAGTCGGTCATAACTATCAACATACAAAATGTATAGATCCTGTGATTTAATAATTTCACTCCCATGAATTTACCAAATACTCAGACATGCTGTTAGCAGTCACTTAAAATATTAATAATGACTGAAGTATCTACATATCTATTAATAGGGAAATGGTTAAATAAAACATGGTATATTCATACTATACAGTGGTCCAACAAATAAGAGTGCCAGAAATCTTTAAACACTGATATAAAAAGAAATCAAAGACATACCCACTAATTTTCAAGAAGATGTAGTAATCTAATATGCATAAATCTGTGTAACAACAAGTACATAATCCTGAATATTTTCCAGAAGAATACACAAAACTCTTCATAAGGACTGCCTTCAAAAAATGAAGCTAGGACTTGAGGTCAAAGGGAGAGCTACCTCTGATTGTTTATCTTTTTGTACCATCTGAAATATTTTTACCATATACACTGCTATGGTTTAGATGGGGTTTGAGTGTGTTCCCCAAAGGTTCAGAGGGGAAGCTGGGACTCCAGTGTTGTGATGTTAAGGAGCAGGGGGAACGTTAAGAGGCAGAGTCTAGTAGGAAGCTGTTAAGTCATTGAAAGCACTGCTCTTTAAAGGAATTGATATAGTTCTCATGGAATGCTGATTAGTTCTTACAAGAGGGATGTTATTAAAAGGGCAAGAAAGAGGGGTACCAGTGGCTCATTCCTATAATCCTAGCTACTTGGGAGGCTGAGATTGGAAGGATTGCAGTTTGACGCAGCCTGAACAAACAGTTTGCAAGACCCCCATCTCCAAAATAACCAGAGAAAAATGGACTAGAGATGTGGCACAATCTGTAGAGCATCTGCTTTGCAATGTGAAGTCCTAAGTTCAAACCCCAGTCCCACCCAAACAAAACTAGGGGGACAGGCTTCTCCCTTCTCTCTGACTTCCTGTCTTACTCTCTCTTGCACTCTTGCCCCCGTATATCCTCCTGTCACCTGCTATAAGGTCCTTACTAGAAGCAAGCCAGTGCTGACCTCATGCCCTTGGACCTCTAGAACTGTGACCTAAATAAACCTCTTTTCTTTATAAAGAAACTAGCTTCAGGTATTTTCCTACAGAAACACAAAATGGACTAACATATACATGTTATTTTCATAATTTTAAATCACAGAGATCTTAAATAACAAATAAAATTATATTTACTCTCACATACTTGTATACACACATTTTATGTATGTATAAAAACATCTTTTTAACAATAAATGAGTGATGCTATGGAAACAGCCAAGATGCCCCACTACTGATAAATGGATTAAGAAAATGTGGTATTTATATACAATGGAATTTTATTCAGCCACAACGAAAAATAAAATTTTGTCATTTGCAGGCAAATGGATGGAACTAGAGAACACCATCTTAAGCCATGATCAGAAAGCCAAAGGTTGCTTGTTTTCTCTCATATGAGGAATATAGACCTACACAAATATAAGCAATATTTTGAAAGAGAGGTCATACTAACGGGAAGTCCCATATGAGAGAGGTAGAATAAAAGAAGGAAGTTAAGAAGGTGAATATGGTTGATATACTTTCTATACAAGAATGAATGGAGAATTTT